AATCGTAGAATGTTTTGGGTTGGAAGGGACCGACTTTGCTTCTTCAGAGAAGTAAAAATACACAGCATAGGTAAGTTACTAGCTACTCTGTGCAGCCAAAATAGAAAAAAAACAACCGAACAAACAAAAATCCCAAACCAGACAAACCCCAAAAGTATACTTTGGCTTCATTTGCGAGTCACTGTTTCCACTCGCGTAGCCGGCAGTAAAACGTGGCGTTTGGAACGCCGGCCCTCGTGAGCAGGTTGAAGTCCTTCGGAAGGCTCCGTGCATTCGAGCCCACCGCCCTGCCGTTCCCCTTCCCCCGCGTATTCGGTCAAGGAGCGATTTCACGAGGTGCACGTATCGAGTCTACCCTGAGGCAGCAACCTGGCAACTGCGGATCACTCGAGTCTAAAAAGTCAGATGGCGGTCCGTGCCGCGCACTGGGGTCACTCCATGCTTCCGGGCACTGCAAAATGCCACAGACCCCGCAACGGCACCAAGGTGAGGGCGTGGGTATCCGGAAGAAGTTTAACAGGGAAAAGCAGATAATGCTTCTTCCGTCCTCGAGCCAGAAGCACAAGCGGGGATTAAACACAAAAGAGATTTCTTTTAAGCAGCAGTTCTACGGGGGGAAACTCCCTAGGACTCCATCTTTACGGTTTCTGGACACCCAAGACCGACGTGACCCTCCCTTTTCCTTCTGAGGAGATTAGGATAGAGGAATAGTTTCTCAGGCCAACAATCACACCTCCCCCACGAGGCAGACTCGTTACTGTTCTCGGCTTCGGGAAGCCGGGAGAGTTGCCCGCGCAGGCCGGACTAACGGAACCAGCCGCCTACTACTCGGGGGATGCGAGAAAGGAAGCCATGTACAGGTACAAAGAGAAAGTACCCACGCTTTAATTGGGAGCCTATCGGAACTAAAAAACCCCCGGTGCATGCAGCTGAGCCGTCCCCCCTTGGCCCTCGGTCCCTCAAACGGCAGTTTACCCGAACACCCTGAAAAACATTCTGCGCTTCCCGAGAACATTTAGAAGGTAAAAGGTCACGACATTGGTCCTACGCCGCACGGCTTTGAGAAGCGATGAAACGGCAAAAAGAACATCTCTGCTGGGAAACATGAGCCAGTGTGGGAATTAATGTTTGGGGACGTGCTCTGTCAGCGCTTGACGACGTCCCTTTCCTTTGTAAGCTAACCAGATACAAACTTTTGTAGTGATTTACCGCTCGCGACAAAAAGCTCTGCCAAAAATTCAAGGGAAGACACGCGCGGACCATCAAATTCAGGAAAGCCCACAGGCGTACGGCAGGAAATGCCCATTTAACATGGCTAGAAAGGGATCTTTGGTCCCTGAGGCCAACGAGGAACTCAAGCTCCGGTTTTACTCCTAGCCTTCCTATTGCCTCCTTCCTCCCAGCCAGACCAAAACATTCCAGTCGAAATCCAGGTACGCGTTTGTCGGACGCGAACCTCGCTCACCTTTTCCGCCTCCGGTCTACGGCGACCGGGACGACGCTCGCTAGCTCTCGCGGCCCTCTTTGCGCACCCTAGCCCAGATTCACGCTCCAGAAGCGCGGGTAGGAGCCTCGGACATTCGCCTCCAGCTGCCCCGCACCAAGACAGTTCAAGCTACACTTGCAGTTTAAAGAAAATAGTACGGGACTATTAAACGAGACTCAGGGAAGATCCTGCGGTAAACCTGCAA